GTCTTCTTTTTTAAAAAGCGAAAAGAGTTGTTACACGTTTTTTTGAAAGGTGTGGTTTTAGGGTTTTGCAAGTGGCGCAAGATCTGTAATTTAGATTAATGGGCACAAATGTTCACAGTTAGCCAGAATACGGAATATCCGTAAAAGTGGTCAATTCATGAACGTGATCCTAGAGCTCTGCGGTTTTTTTTTTAAACATTAGGAACTGTGATATAAAAAAATATTTGGGGTTGTGACATAAACATGTACCTGGATGTCAAAAAAACCGTCCTCCGGAAGATCCGGAACATCCGTAAAAGTGGGCAATGCATGAGACTGATCCTAGAGCACCGCGTTTTTTTTAACATTAGGAACTTTGATATAAGAATGAATTTGGGTCATGAACCCAGATGGCCATCCCAGCGGAAAATCCGGAACATCCGTAAAAGTAGTAAATCCACGATCCTGATCCTAGAGCTCCGCGTTTTTTTATAAACATTAGGAACTGTGATGATAGAAATAATTTGGAGTTATGACATAAACATGAACCTGGATGTCCAAAGAACCGTCCTCCGGAAGATCCGGAACATCCGTAAAAGTAGTCAATCCATGAAACTGATCCTAGAGCTCCGCGTTTTTTTAACATTAGCATCTGTGATATAAGAATAAATTTGGGTCATGGACCCAGATGGCCATCGGACCGTCCAGCGAAAGATCCGGAACATCCGTAAAAGTGGTAAATCCACGATCCTGATCCTAGAGCTCCGCGTTTTTTTAAACATCAGGAACTGTGATGATAGAAAGAAATTGGGGTTGTGACATAAACATGAACCTCGATGTCCATAGGACCGTCCTCCGGAAGATCAGGAACATCCGTAAAAATTGTCAATCCATGAAACTGATCCTAGAGCTCCGCAGTTTTTGAAAAACACTAAGAACTGAGATGATAGAATGAATTTGGGGTCGTGACATAAACATGGACCTTGATGGCCATGAGACCGTCCTCCGGAAGATCCGGAACATCCGTGAAAGTGGAAAATTCACGAAACTGATCCTAGAGCTCCGTGGTTTTCTTGAAAACGTTAGGAACTGTGATATTAGAAATGAACCAAGATGTTCTGGACTTACCAGAGGATGGCCCCATGGCCATTTGGGTCCATTTTTATGTCATGACCCCAAATTCTTTCTTATATCGCAGTTCCACATGCTTTCAAAAAAACCGTTGAACTCTAGGATCAGTTTCGAGTATTGACCATTTTTAAAGATGTTCTAGATCTTGCAGAGGACGATTCCATAGCCGTCTACACACCAAAAAATTCTGAATTTTACTGGCGATGTAAACATCCATGCATGCAAACATTCATACATGTAAACTTCCTTTTCACGTAAATTAGCAACTTGCAAGAAATGTTGCAAACAAAAGTGGACAGTTGCATACAATATATGGGATATTGCATGACATGTCTCATAAATTTACACGATCTATAATCCAAATTTATATGATATATGACGCTCCATTTATGTGCATCATAGTAACGGAAATTTACGCTACTTTTTTTTTGGCTGTGTAGGTACATGTTTATGTCAGACTGCAAATTAATTTATATATGACAGTTCCAAGTGTTTTCGAAAAAACCGTGGAGCTCTAGGATCAGTTCCATACATTGACCACTTTTACGGATATTTTGGATCTTCCGGAGGACGGTCCGTACTCCGGAAGATCCAAAAAATCCGTAATAGTGGTCAATGTATGGAACTGATCCTAGAGCTCCACGGTTTTTTCGAAAACACTTGGAACTGTCATATATAAATTAATTTGCAGTCTGACATAAACATGTACCTACACAGCCAAAAAAAAAGTAGCGTAAATTTCCGTTACTATGATGCACATAAATGGAGCGTCATATATCATATAAATTTGGATTATAGATCGTGTAAATTTATGAGACATGTCATGCAATATCCCATATATTGTATGCAACTGTCCACTTTTGTTTGCAACATTTCTTGCAAGTTGCTAATTTACGTGAAAAGGAAGTTTACATGTATGAATGTTTGCATGCATGGATGTTTACATCGCCAGTAAAATTCAGAATTTTTTGGTGTGTAGACGGCTATGGAATCGTCCTCTGCAAGATCTAGAACATCTTTAAAAATGGTCAATACTCGAAACTGATCCTAGAGTTCAACGGTTTTTTCGAATGTATGTGGAACTGCGATATAAGAAAGAATTTGGGGTCATGACATAAACATGGACTCAAATGGCCATGGGGCCATCCTCTGGTAAGTCCAGAACATCCGTAAAAGAGGTCAATCAATGAAACTGATCCTAGACCTCCGCAGTTTTATTTTTCCAAAAAACATTAGGAACTGTGATATAAGAATGAATTTGTGGTCGTGACTTAAAAATGTACCTAGATAGCCATGGAACCGTCGTCCGGAAGATCAACAACATCCGTAAAATAGTCACTCCATAAAATTGAGAGGTGGAAGCATAGCTATTGTCGTTTTCGTTTTTGCGGTGTAGCACTGGTGTAGTGTAAGCAGGAATAAGCGCGAGTCTTTGACAGCTCAACATTATTTGTTTGTAAACAAAGGTGCATCCTATATCTACACCCTAAAATATTTCGGTGTACGGCAGTGTAGCACCGGTGTAGCTACACCGCAAAAACGAAAACGACATATGACGAGTAACTATGATGCAGCAGAAAACGAAGGTGGCATGGCAACCGACCTTGGAGCACGCGCAGAAGATGACAAGCTACCGGCCTCTGATCTTCAAGAAGTTTTGAGGAGATCGGTTGGCTGAAGAACAACAAAGCAACTGGTGTAGATCAACTACCAAGTGATCTATTAAAATACGGTGGTGAAGCACTGGTTAGAGCGCTGCACTGGGTAATTGCCAAGATTTGGGAGCAGGAGATATTACCGGAGGAGGGGATGGAAGGTGTCGTATGCCCAATCTACAAAAAGGGCGACAAGTTGGATTGCTGCAACTACCGCGCCGCCTACAAGGTACTCTTCCAAATTATATGCCGCCGCCTCTCACCATTTGCAAGAGAGTTCGTGGGGCAATACCAGCCGGGTGTCATGGGTTCATATTCGCGATTCGGCAGGTTCTGCAGAAATGCCGCGAATACAACTTGCTTACACATCATTTGTTAGAAGGCGTCGGTAGCATTGATACTCAGTACGGAAAACAAGATCGCCGGAAAACAAAACAAGGAAAAAAATGTTCATTATGATCCCAATGTGTCTCGAAATGATCCAATCAATGAAAAAAGAATCACCCGTGTTTATTAGTAGTACAAAAACTCTATCTAGCAATAGTTATGGGATGCCGGGCTTAGCCACAGTTCCCCTACCAGATTTATTGCTCAAATTGCGAGAATTTGTATCCATTCAACGTTTCAAAGTTTCATCCTTTTCTTTCCCTTCGACCTTTTGTCCCTTCGACCTTTTTTCCCTTCGCCCTTTTTGTCCCTTCGACCTTTTATCCTACAACCCTCCCATTTGATGAGCGCAGCATTTGCCTGATCGCTAAGCAGGAGACCAACAGTTACTGCCGGTTAGCGTTTTCACCTCAAAGACTGGAGTAGCTGTCCCAACGGCAGTTTGTGTTCTCCAAAGTTCAACGAATGGACTACGTTCAGTCCCAGGCTTTCAAGCTTCAGGCGAGTTGTACCAGCCGGACTAACGGTAGTGCATACAGTGTTCCAATTTGTGTCCGTTGTTTGTGGGCTAAAGGTCGTTGCCGTTTTCAAGAATCTACCGAAGAGACGTCATCCGCAGTATGACATCATTGGCTCTATGGAGTTTTTCGGTTTATCGCAGCGACTATTGAGCATTCTAATTTAAAAATGGCCGTTCCCACTTACTGTGCGGTCCCACTCGTGTACGTTATATTGCAACTGCTATCACCGTCGAGGATTTGTGCTAGATTTGACCTGCTAAATAACATTACGTTCCGAAATATGTGTTCATTGTGCTCTAAAATTCTCCTACACAGTTTGTTAAAGAAGTGTGAATTTCTGTTAAATATGTTATACAAGTTTACATTATACATCGTGTAATGTTATGAGATGTTTCATGAAATACTGCTAATATTGTATAAAACCGTTCATGCATGCTGTTGCATGTTTGCGTGAAAAGTAATACAAGTTTATCGCTTGTATTTCAGATTAATTTTCTTATGTGATTTATTGATTAATTTAATATTTCTATACAGAGCTGGAAAAAGGGCCTATCTGCTTTGATCGATTCTCTTCATCGACTTTCTCTTTCGTTAATAACTCAGCTGCAACAACATTCCCTGTTATATTTGACGATATGGATGATAGATAAAAACCTCCTTTATCAATCTGTGTGGCAAAATTAGCACGAAAACTGTTACCATAGCCGTGGTTATCGAAAGAGAAAGTCGATGAAGAGAATCGATCAAAGCAAATAGGTCCTTTTCCAGCTCTGTATAGATTTTTCCCATAACTTTATCCACACTATTTCTTTTGTCTCCATTATTCAACATCCATTAATATTTTTCAGCTCTTCAGGTTATGGATCGTCTTCAATCGACACGAGCTTTGTTTAATGGGCACTTGAGTAATTATTTATTACTCCTTGCAGAACTACTAAGTGGTAGTTGTTTTTTCCATCTCTAGAACAGCTGTTGAAAGCGTTGGCTGACGCACGAGTCAAAGTTTCTTTTCTCACAGAAACTAAATCGCGAGTTCCTCTGTATTGGTAACACGATTCTTCGAGTCTCGGTCTGGAGTTAGCGAGAAATCAAAACCAGCTCAAAGGCGTACGTATCAGTCAGTGGTGGGTAGCGGTAGCATGCTCCTCCACAATTACAACTGGCCAAAACTGAACCTCGTTGTATAGAGACAATAAACACAATTCCAATCATAACGACACAAATTCTGTATTTACCTGTATTCCTAGCATTTTTTATTTTGTTTACGATGATATTAAAGTTTGTTCGAAATTCTTCTTCTCTTCCTTTTTCTTTCCGCCCCCCATAGCTTTTGGGTTCAACATTGATATGCGCGCACATTCCGTGAAGGAACGTTGTGAATAAAACAGCACGAACCCCCGCGGGTCGCAGTTCGACATCAGGCAAAAAGGCATCATAACAAAAATAATCGACAACGACGACCGACGTGCGTCGATGGGAAGGTGACTTCGAACGGGTAGGCACCTCAAAGGAAGGAGCGCAAAATTTATGGCTTATTAAATGCCCGTGTGGAAGATAATTAAATTTCTCAACAGTCGAATGTATGTATATAGTACGTAGCAGCGGCCGTCACGGAAAATAATCGGAAAATTGTCAGAGCAATTTCGAGTGCTTCGGAGAGTGTTAATCGGTTTTCCCTTAATTGCATTAACGTGCTGCCGCACCGCCCGAAAATCAGGTGGTACGTAGTGGATAATTTTTGGTTGCTGTGTAAATTGGCGAAAATTATAGGCAACTGTATGTTTTGGTTTTGAAAAAAAAAAACTACTCTTGGTGTGTAGCACCGTAGTACCTATGACATTCCTCCGGCGAATGAAGTGATTTATAGTGCGGAAGAACTCACTGAAGAGTTGCAACACCACTTTTGTGCAGAGCTCGTTACGCGTAGTCGAGTTAATTGACGATAGTATAGTGTTGTTTGGAGGTGTGTTGAGTGTTTGAAGAAGTAGTAAGCTGTTCGTTTTGAAATTGGCTGTAAAAACCTGGTGACAGTTAGGTGATTGATAGCCGTTTTGACAGAGATCGTCGCGACGCGTTACATTGTAAGTATTGATATGGATTGCAATACGGATTTGGGAAAAATCTCCATGCATTATCATCATCGAATAACATGTATCCAATAGAGTTATATAATATTATTCTTGTAATATTTTAATGTAGGAATCAATATTTACGACAAGCGAATGTACTTGATAAACATTCCTCAATATAATGAGGTATTCACGTCATGAGGTCGATTCCAGTACGCCAAACGCCATTATAGGCAAATATAGTTAATTAACAATTTCCTCCACTCTTTGCTTTTCCATACATCTCACAGCGATGTTCGACACACCACAATTTTATTTCATTAATTACACAATGAGGAAAATGCGTGTATTATTCAAACCTGAAGCTATTCTTTGCAAATACGAGAATAATTTATATACGATAGGGTGGAGAAATCTATCAAAAAGATGCGCAATGATGTGGAAGCTCCATTTTGTAAAAAATGAGCGTTTTAAGGTATTGTTTACCCCATTACAAAATAGGGTCTTGGGTTAGGGGGAGAGGCGACGCCGTTCTATTTGTTTCCCGTCTTTATTAAAGCCGTGAAGCATCTTTCCTTGTCATGTTTTTAGAATACATTCGTTTTCTTATCAGTCGCATTTCTACGTCAACTGACGAATCGTTCATTTTCCTCTGTTCGGTTCACTGCGACCAATACATTGATCTTTTGTGATATATCCGTGTCCTTTCTTTAGTACATGGCTTTGTAAAAGTAGTTAACATGTTTGAAATTCCACGCTTCACTTACAACAAGTTTAGTGTTGTAATTCTAGATAAATATTTCAAAAGGTCCTATCTACATTGATCGATTCTCTCCATCGACTTTCTCTCTCGTTAATAACTCTAGATGAACATTTCAAAGGGTCCTATGTGCATTGATCGATTCTCTTCATCGACTTTCTTTTGCGTCAATAACTCAGCTGCAAAACCTTTCCCTGTTGTATTTGACGTTTTGGAACCTCCTTTATCAAACTATGTGGTAGAATTAGCGCGAAATCTGCTTGCATAGCAGTGGTTATGAAAAGAGAAAGTCGATGAAGAGAATCGATCAAAGCAGATACGACCATTTGAAATGTTCATAGAGTTACTCAACTTCAAAAGCATTCCCTGCTGTGTTCAACGTCCCAAGCACAAGATAATAAAACCTGCTACCAAACTGTGTGCACGAAATGTGTTTGCGTAGACATGGTTATCAAAAGACAGTGATGTCCCGTAACCTCACTTTTTACCAGTGTACCAATTTTCAAAACCCGATTTAAGGCCATCGTTCGGACATTTTGAGCCGTTTGTCTGTGATTTGGGTGGTTTTCCAGGAAACGTCCCGAAAATCCTGTGAAGGAAAGTGAATATCGGGAAACAAATTCCGTCCGATTGTAGCCAAGGATTTTGTTTTCCTAGTGGGGTAAAATTTGGGTGGAAAAGTGCATTCAACTTCAAGTGGTGTGCTTTTTCCGGGAAAGTGGCATTTCCACCCAAAGAGAATATGCACGTGAGTGTATATGTGCGCGCAAGGAAATGCAATCTTGCGCCTATGTTTTCCCGGGAATTTCCCAAGAAAGTATACCATATTTTTATACCAGGACATTCTGCAGACTATGCACAACATGATGGTATACATAAACATATGATTTTCGAAAATTTGTAGCATGGTTTTTCAATTTCCAAACCATGCGCCAAACATTCTCGCTGTAAATTCGTCACGGACATAGTAAAGAAGCAATCAGCAATTACGCATTTGTTTTACCACGTTGCCACATTTTCTTGTTCGTAGGTCCACGAGTCCTTTTTCGCTAGTTCGCTCATCATATCAAATTGATCAGGAATTCTTCCGAATGTCAAAAATTATATCGAAGACCTACGACGGATCCGAAATTGAAATTGAGATCTCCATATATTCTTTCACCATATCAAACTGAACAGGAGTTCTTCAAAATCTTATCTTATCTATCGAAGACCTACGACTTATCGGGAATTGAAATCGAATCCTGCATATTCCCTCATCACATCAAATTGATCATTAATTCTTCCGAATAATCAGAAATTATATATAAAACGTATGACTAATCGGAAATTGAAAATGAGTTCTCCATATATTCCACCAACACATCAAATTGATCATAAATCCTTCTGTAGACATTCGGGCAGTTAGAATATATTTCAAAATACAAGGATGGTCAAAAATTCTTCCAAACTATCAGAAGTTATATGGAAACCCTTCGATTGATTGCAAATTGAAATCAAATTCTCCATTAATTCCTTGATCATATCATATTGGAATTATCAGGAATTATTCCGAATAATAAGAAATTATATCGGAAAATGAAATCGAGTTCTCCATATGTTCCCTCATCACATCAAATTGATCAGGATTTCTTCCAAATTATCAGAATTAATATCGAACACGTATGACTAATTGGAAATTGAAATTGAGTTCTCCATATATTCCATCAACATATCAAATTAATCAGAAATCCTTCTGAAGAACTTCGGGCAGTTCGAATGTATTTCAAAATACAAGGATGATCAGGAATTATTTCGAAATTTCACCGAATTATCAGAAGTTATATGGAAACCCTATGACTGATTGGAAATTGAAATCGATTTCACCATAATATGTACCCTATGTACCATATCAAAGTGTTCAGAAATTCTTCCGGATTATCAGAAATTATATTGAAGGTCTTCGACTAATAGAACAATTGCAACCAAGTTTCCATATATATCTCAATCAAATCAGGTTGATCAGGAATTCTTTCGAATTATCAGAAATTATAAAAAAAAAACTTCCTGATCAGAAATTAAAATCGAGTTGTCCTTATGCTCTTACCATATCAAATTGATCAGGAATTCTTTCGTGTGACCAAAAATTGTATCGAATACCTACGAATGGTGGGTAATTGAAATCGAGTTTTATCAGGACATCTTCCGAATTATCAGAAATTATATCGAAGACCTACGACTGATCGGAAATTGAAATCGAATGATCCATATACACCCTAGCAAAGTGATAATGAATTCTTCCGAATTATCAGAAATCATATTCAGGGCCTTCGACTTATAGAAGAATTGTCATCGATTTTTCCAGATAGGTATATCTTTATCATATCAGGTTGATCGGCTATACTTCCGAATTATCAGAAATTATATCGAACACCTACGGCTAATTGGAAATTAAAATTGAGTTCCCCAAATATTCCCTCATCATATCAGATTTATAAGGAATTCTTCCGAATCAGCAGAAATTATAAAAAAGACCAATTACTGATCGGAAATTGAATTCGAGGTCTTTGAATATTTCCTCATCATATCAAAGTGATCAGGAATTCTTCCGGAATATCAGAAATTATATTGAAGGTTTTCGACTAATAGAACAATTGCAACCAAGTTTCCATATATATCTCAATCAAATCAGGTTAATCAGGAATTCTTTCGAATTATCAGAAATTATTTAAAAAAAACTATTTCTGACCAGATATTGAAATCGAGTTCTCCTTATTCCATGACCATATCAAATTGACAAGGAATTCTTCCGAATTATCATACATTATATCGAAGGCTTACGACTGATCGGAAATCCAAATCGAGTTTTCCATATATTCCTTCATCATATCAAAGTGATCAGGTGATTGATAAATAATTCATTCGAATTATCATAAATGATACGAAGACCTACGATCGGAGATTGAAATCGAGCTCTCCATATATTCCCTGGTCATATCAGAGTGATCGGGAGTCCTTCTGATTATCTTTGGTCTGTAAGAATGTATTTTCAAAATTTAGCATTGATCAGGAGCCATGTAGACGATCTTCAAATGATCTTGAAATAAAACCATTTGAATATTCTTACATCATATGAGATTGGTTAGGAATTCTTCCGAATTATAAGAAATTATTTCGAGGACTTCCAACTTATAGAAAAATTTATATTGTGTTCTCCATATATTTGCTTCTCATATCAAGTCATCTTCCGAAGATCTTCGGTCAGTTAGAATGTATTTTCAAAATATAAAGATGGTTAGTCGAAGTCTTTCAAATGATCTTAAATTGAAATTCAATCTTTTGAATATTATCGTCCCATATGAGGTTGATCAGTAATTCCTCCAATTTATCAGAATTTATATCGAAGACTTACGACTTACAGGAAATTGAAATCGATTTTCCATATATTCGTTCATCATATCAAAGTGATCAGTAATTATTATGATGATCGTCGGTCAGATAGAATGTAGCAAAACTTCGAATATTCAAAGGATTTTATTTCAATTTCTGACCGTTTACAGATCTTCGACATGATTCCTGTTCAACGCTATGTTATGAAAATACGTTCTTATTGACTGAAGATCTTCAGAAGAATTGCTGATATATTTGTTATAAAAGGGGCACTGGTGGTGTAGTGGTAAGCGTGATTCCCAAAAGGCCTGGGTTCAATCCAAGTCGGCACCACAGTCGGTTTTCTGAGGAATAAAATTTCTTATCACGCCTTCCTTCGGAAGGGAAGTTAAACCGTTGGTCCCCAGTCCATGAGTTGATGGGCCGATATGTAGGGTCCAGGTGTGGAAACTATCTCCCTGGTGCCGGTAGCATTGGTACTCAGTACGCAAAAGAAAATCGACGGAAACAAACCAAGGATTTTTTTATATGATAAAGAAATATATGGAGAACTCGATTTCAATTTTTTTTATTAGTCCAAGGTCTTCGATATAATTTTTGATAGTTCGAAAGTATTCCTAATCAACCTCATATGATGAGAGAATATTCAATGGAATTATTTTTAATGTTTAATCATGTGATTCTTATATTTTGAAATGCATTCTTACTGACCGAAGATCTTCATAAGAATTTTTAATAATTTCGATTTGATAAGGAAATATTATATCAATTTATCAATTTATTTATTAAGTTAGTCGTTAATCAAAAGCGTAGATTACATTATAATATCATTACTTATGATCTATGATTTCGCAGTGCTTGGAATTATTTTTCAATTTTAGCG